TACTCTCGGTAGCTTGCCGGGCTCTCCGAGAGGGGCGGAGGAATCGAACTCGGGTCGGCCATGTTGGCTGCGTGCAAGGCAGACGCCCTACCCGCTGTGCTATAGATGTGACCAATTTAGCAGTGATTTAAACGGAGTTTCACCATGTTTTTAAAAATGTGCCTTGTTAAAAAAAATACCACATGATCTTTATCTTAACTGGGAATTTATATATTGCCATTGATTTGGAATAACCCATTTTATGGTGCACACTTTCCATTCCTGTATAAATATTATTCTTTCAGTTCAGGGATCTCAGCTTTAGCTACACCTGCAGGGAAATTAATGTGTAGTGAGTCCTAACTATGGAATGAATTTTTAATTTTTGGTTGTTTTTCTCCATTATCTCTCTGCACATGCGTTTTCTTTCCACAGTAAAAACAGTCAAGTTTGCAGTTTTTTCTAGGAGACATTTTTAGTACATTAAAACCATAGTCTGCTCACACGGCAGAGTCTGGCAAACTCCCCGTGGCGTGCCCAATATGCCAAATACCAGTACCAATGATGGGTCTCATTCTCCTAAAGAGCCTTGAATATAATCTCAGGGCTAGGATGAAGGAGACGTTACTGGGGCCTGCTCGAGGCAATCGACGATTAACAGGATGATTTGTGATGTGTGATTTGTGAAAACCATAGTCATAATCTTGGACCATGTTAAGTGGTTTCTTTTTTTCCCATTTGAACATATGAAAATTAGGAGCCAGGTAAATTTCAACCCTAATATTTCTTAGCTCAGAATGGCAAAAACACAAAAGGAATTTGGGTATTGTGCATTAGACATAGAATAATATAAGTGATTATCATTCATACAGTCAGTGAGTATTTTGACATCAGTTAAATCCTAGGCTGTTTGCCTTGGAGACACAGGTTTTATTTTTGTTTGTTTGTTTGTTTTTATTTTTGGCTTTTTGGGTGACACCCGGCGATGCACAGAGGTTACTCCTGGCTCATGCACTCAGGAATTACCCCTGGCGGTGTTCAGGGGACAATATAGGATGCTGGAAATCAGACCTGGGTAGGCTGTGTGCAAAGCAAACGCTCTCCCCGCTGTGCTATTGCTCCAGTCCCAGAGACACAGTTATTTAAAAGAATAAAGTCAGGGAAGATTTTTACTAATGGAATTAATAGTAAATAAACAAAATTCACTTCAACTGAGTAATAACAGTGTGGTAAGAATGTTGAATAAGAAGCCATTTCAGATGATATTTCCAGGGCCATCTGTCCATCTCTGGATCCTATTTCTTATTCTTCATTTGGACTGAAATCAAGGATTAAGTAAGAAGAAGGACCTAAATATATTGCATCTTCTGGTCTTAGAGAGAAAATTTTATGTGGAAGTGTACTTGACAGGTTATCTGGAATAAAGGCTCTTTTTCCTCCTTTCTGGGGGTGAAAAAAAAGAAGCATGGTATGAGAGAGAGTGGGAACAAAGTGAGCTGTTTGTTGGTGAGTAGAAACTGGCCTCTTAGAGAAAGACACAAGCTAAGAACCCAAAGATAAGAAAGTGTCTAGATTGTGACCTCTTAATACAGTTTCTCTCTGAAAGGAATCGGACAAATCCCTGGGAAACTAGTTTACTGCATATTGGAATTAGGACTGTCAAAGACCGTAAAGAACCCATCAGAGTCTATTGCAGACCAGGTAGGGGTGACATCTTGGAGGGAGCCCACTGGGCACGGATGCAACAAGTGCATCAGAGTACTGACTGGAGAAGCACTCCAAGATCCTGCCTCCCTTGGTAGAGTCAGGAATTCAACTGCAGCTTTCGGTCATATGTCTGTGGGCCATCTGCATTTCTGTCTTCTTTGGCATAATGTCTATTTGGGGGTGGGATGGGAATTCAAATTTTTTTCTTGCCTTTTGTTGTTGTTGTTAATTAATTTATTTTTTAATTGAATCACCGTGAAATACGGTGAGAGAGTTACAAAGCTGTTCATGATTTGGTTTCAGTAATATAGTGTTCCAGTACCTCCACCTCTATTTTTAAAACTATGATTGGTTGCTTTAGTTGTTGAGCTGTGTGAGTTCTGTATGTGTTTGCAGATTCAGCTCCTGTCAGGTGTCGGATGTGCAACTCTCTTCTCCCAGTTGGTAAGGTCGACATTTTGGTTTTCTGGTAGTTTCTCTTGCTGTGTAGGAAGCTTAATAATTTGATGTCATCCCATTTGTCTACCTCTCCCAACCACACCCCCACTTCTCTTTGCTGTTATTGGAAAATGGACATGATTGCACACTCTGGGTTGCAGTGCTTCCCAGGGCTTCATGCTTGTGGCTGGCCTACTACGCACATCTGTGCAGTCCTCACTGGGCATCACCTACTCATGTGCCCTTGCTTGCTTGTGGCACACCAGAGCGTCATGCACTCAGCTGTGGTGCCAAGGGATCCTAAGTGGCGGTGCCTCCAAGATTGCGCTTTGGCATATAGGGTGGTATCGAAATTAAACTCAGAGCCTCAGAATTGCAAGGCAGGTGCTCTCTCTGAGCTGCCTCCCTTTCCCTGGCTCGTTTGTTCTTGCCAGTGCAGATTCCAGATATATCTGTGATGGTGACGTCTGGGATGCGTCTGACGTCTTCTCCTGTCTGCCTCTTAGGTTTCGTTCTAATATCTGATGTTTAATCCATTTGGAGTTAATGTCATGTACAATGTTGAGTAAAGGTCTATTTTCTTTTTGTGTGTGTGTGTGCGCGCGCTTTTTGGGTCACACCCAGCAATGCACAGGGGTTACTCCTGGCTCATGCACTCAGGAATTACCCCTCGCAGTGCTCGGGGGACCATATGGGATGCTGGGAATCGAACCCGGGTCAACCGCGTGCAAGGCAAACGCCGTACCCACTGTGCTGTCACTCCAGCCCCAAGGTCTGTTTTCTTTATCTAAATGTTTGTCCAGTTTTTCCATCTCCTTTGGAAAGAAGGCTTTTGAAGAGGCTTTCCTTTCTCTACCATATGGACACAACTCCCTAGTCACAGGTGTTTGATGTCTGTCCACATAGATTTACATTGTATCTGGGCTCTCTTATCTTCTGCTCCATAGGTCTGTGTCCCTGTTTTTATGTCAGTGTCATGCTGCATCAGGTACTATTGCTTTGTAATAGGTTTTGAAGTTAAAGAGCATGACGTCTCTTCCTTTTCTTCTTTTTCCTCTCACAGAATTGTTTTTGGCTCTTTGGAGTCTTTCATGCTTTCATACGAATTTTAGATTTTTTCCCCTGTTACCTTGAGAAATGCCATTGTTGTTTTAATAGGGACATGTGAATCTGTCCATGGCTTTAGGTAAGGTGGGTTGTGTGTGTTTACTGTGTGGGATTCTTCTGACCCATGAATGGGATGTGTTTCTGTTTCTTTGTGTCATCTGTGTCTTCTACTAATACTGTTTTTAGTGTATAAGCCTTTCAGATCCTTTGTTCATATTGATTCTTAGGTGTTTTCAGGTATTTTATCTTTTTGAGGCATCTGTAAATGGCTCCAATGTAAATTATTTTCCTAGTTTCCTTTTCTTCTAACTCAGCATTGCTCAAAGTGGCTGATATCACTTCGGGCACCACTGAGCAGTCCAGGACATAATAAGAGCCTCGCTTGCTGTCCACAGGTGCGCTTTCTGTTTATTCACGTAAAGAAGACTTCTTGGGTGGGGGTGGGGAGTGGAATAGAGGGTCACTGGGAGATTTTTTTCTGCACAAATTAGTAAGCCAAATTAGTCTGCTCTAACTCACTGTGTATAGAAACACAAAAGACTTGTGTATATATAGATTTTGTTTTTTGTTTTGTTTCATTGCATTGTTGGAGATTGAATTCAGGATAGACACAAGCTCTACCCCTGTGAAACATCCCTGGCCTGTGTATTTATTGTGTATCCTCTCATTTCATTCAACTCTTCAATTATTTCTAGTAACTTTTTGATGAAATAGTTAGAATTTTCTATATATATTATCATATCACACTCCACCCCCCAATCACTTTGGTTTCAGCTAGGACTTCAAAACTATGTTCGAAAGGAATGGTGAGAGTGAGCATCCCTGTCTAGTTACAGGTCTTAGTGGAAAAGCTTTAGTGTTTTGCTTATTTTTTTTTAAACCACTGAGTGAGTATGCTATGGATTTTTCAAATTTGGCCTTTGTTACAGTGAGCTATATACTAGCTTACTATAACAAAGGCCAAATTTGAAAAATTTACCGAGCATTTAAAAAATAAAAATGGCTGTTAGGTTCAGCCTGTATTGTTAAAAAGTAAAATGCTTAAAATGCACTAACATGAAATAGTACCAAGGTTGATTTATTAATTTTACAACCCAATGTATACCTGTCTGCTCCAAATTGTATATATTGTTGCCTTTCCTGGTCTATGAGAATTCAGCTTTGGAAATGCAGATCATGCCACCGGCAGAGGGATGGTCAGACTCTGTTAGAGCTCTGTGGAGGTACATGTGGAGGAGGCAGTGTGACCCTGTGATGGAACACAAATAGATTATTGGGTTTTTTTTCCTTTCTTTTTTGGGGAGTGGAGGGTGGATGCGCACCTGTCAATACTCAGAGCTTTTTCCTGGCTCTGCGCTCAGGAATTACTCCCATTGGGCCCAAGTGACCATAGAGGATGCCAGGGATCAAACCTGGGCCATGCATGTACTAGGCAAACCCCTACCTGCTGTACTATCTCTCCAGTTCCAGAAATGGATTATTTTTATGACCAGAGAGTTTGATGAAACGAGAAGCACATTAATTAAATCTTATTACTCTCATTTTTTGAGTACACTTTTCCAGCGCATGGAAACGAGAAGACTGTGACAGTAACAAAACAAGCTTATTGTATTCTTAGTGTGTGTCATTCGCTCTTCACTTCTAAATTTAATAAGTTGGAAATAGAGGATTTGGTAAATAATATATTTTTAAGGAAGATGAGCTTACTTTATGCCATGTTATGTATTTCATAAAATGGTTGTTTATCTTTTTATTTTTTTTTTTAACAGGGTATCCAGAAATTGGCTAGTCAGTATCTAAAGAGAGATTGGCCTGGAATGAAAGCTGAGGAACGGAATGATTACAGGTAAATAAATGTGTAGTTCTCGCCCATTTCTTCCAGAATATCTTCATTCTGGGAGAGGGAATATAGCATGAATATGGTCCCCACTGCCGCGTGGCCCCTCAAGCACGGCAGGTGTAGCCCTGGTGGTCCAGCAGCATGACCCCGCCTTACGTGCTGAGCACTGCTTAGAACGATCTACCCCAGAGCCATGTCACACTGGTGGAGTGGAGACTCCAGCTTCATTCTTCTGTTTTAAATAAAGTATTTAGGCTTCAGGAGTATCGAAAATATTGGTTTCATGAAACATGTAATCTACGTAAACCAGCAAGTTTTCATGTCTTATGCCAAGATTTTGTTACTCTCCAATGGATACCTGCCTATAGATGTTAAAGAAGTCAGATGTCAGTGGGACACACATCTTTCCCCAGTGACCTGAAAATGAAACATATTGTTGCAGCAGCAGTGAAACCTTATTCTCTGTCCTGCCATGGCCACTGAGCCTTTATTTCTGAATTACCACTAATTACCACTGTCCTCCAATTGTTCATCCATTTGCTCAAGCGGGCCCAGTAACATCTCCATTGTGAGACTTGTTACTGTGTTTGGCATATTGAATACATCATGGGGAGCTTGCCAGGCTTTGCGTGATACTCTCGGTAGCTTGCCGGGCTCTCCGAGAGGGGCGGAGGAATCGAACCTGGGTTGGCTGCATGCAAGGCGAACGCCCTACCACTGTGCTCTCACTCCAGCCCGGAGATGGAATTTTGTGAACCTAGGGAAAGAGTTTGTGACTTCATGCATATGTAGGGCAAGCTATCCCGAACCTGGGAAGTCAGTGTCATAAGAACAGATTTTTCCAAAAACAGAAGATTGGAGGGCCTGGAGAGGTAATACAGTAGGAAGGGCACTTGCCCTGCATGTCGCCAATCTGCGTTTTATCCCCAGCACCCATTTGGTTCCCTGAGACCTCCCAGAAGTGATCCTTGGACACAGAGCCAGGAGTAAGCCCTGAGCACTGCTGGTTGTGGCCCTAAGCCCAGAAATAAAGATAGGAGATAATGAAATATAAATTTTGTCCTCAGTGATACACAGATCACTTTCAAGGTATTTCTGACTTATTTAAGAAAGCATTTAGTGGTTGTTTATGCTGAGGACCGCCCTTACTGCTGAGGGACTCAGGCATTGAAGCAGAATCTCAGAGTTTGTCAGTTGGTTGAGAGTTATGAACAGTGCCTATGAAGCAGCAGCAGAGAATCCATGGAAATTAAGGTCCCTGAATACCCTCAGTATTGTAGCTGCTGATCAGGAATCTGAATTTAAAACCAAGCTATTGTTCCTAAAAGCTAATACCATCAGATAATTTCCTAATGGAGTTAGAAAACTAAATAATATGCAAGACACCCTAATAGTCCTTTATAGTTGCAGGATTCTTGGATAACTGGTAAGAAGGTCTGATAGTGATGAGTATTGTATAATGCTCGAGCGGGCCCAGTAACGTCTCCATTGGAGACTTTGTTGTTACTGTGTCTGGCATATCGAATACTCTCAGTAGCTTGCCGGGCTCTCCAAGAGGGGCGGAGGAATCGAACTCGGGTCGGCCATGTTGGCCGCTTGTAAGGCGAACGCCCTACCCGCTGTGCTATTTATTGTATAATGCAATATAGAGAAATCAGAAAGGAACAAAGATAGGTATTCTTTCATAGATTTCGAGTATCTATACAGTTCAGATTAAATTATATGGAAGAGATTACATTCTACATGAAAGAGAAGCCTTACCTGGGGTAAGGTAGTTGCTTTACATGCCACTGACCTGTGTCACCTGACCCCTGGCACCTACTGGTTCCTTGATCCTGACCAGGAGTGATCCCTGAATACAAAGACAGGGGTAAACCCTGAGCACCACTCAATGTGGCAAAAATATATTTTTAGAGTGTTTAGAAAGAGACAAGTAGAGCAGAGGCTTGCAGTGCTAACGTGATATGATTGATATTGTTGGCATGAAATAATCATCCTGACCAAGGAAGAATTTGCTGCAGAGTAAAAGATTCCAAATTGTAGATAGGCTATAGTCCAAGTTTGTTTTAAATACTGCTGACCAAAAAAATAAGAATCAAAAAGCTCTGCTCCCTGCTTATCTCATGCAATTTAATTTTGAAAATACTTGCAGTATGCCTGGACCTTGTGAGAGATAATCCTTATCTCTCAGGATTATCCAGGCAACTCTGTGAAATACAGGAAATCATTCTCTCTCTATTCCAAAAACTGTCTCAGGTTATATGCCTTCCTGTGAGTCACAAGGCTATGTAAACACTCGCTTATTCATGAGATAGAGGTGAAATATCTGCTATGTGCTGGCCGTTGTGGTTGGCCATTGAGATTGCAGAGAGTAGACTACAGAGCCTATCCTGATGGAGTTACGGAAAAGTATCCCTTTAAACACTTGCCCTGTTGGAACTGCAGAGGAAAACCTTGGCTTCCAAGGCTGTCTTAAGGAATGTGAGCAGAGTGCCAGTGTTGGACAAAAGGAATGTGGAGCAGAAATAGCACCTTAAAGTCATGGAGTCATGAGAAAGTATGACTATTAGGTAACCATGAGCAGTTCAGATGGTTGGTGTGATGTATGTGAGCTGGGGGTGAGGGCAATGGAGGACATGGGGATATTTAGTTAGCTGTCATAAAGGGGTACACATGTTAGCTTCCCTCTTTGCACACACAACGAAGACATTGAAGAATTTCCACAAGAGGAATATAACAAGTTCAACTTTGCTTTAATAATAGCATGAAAGGTAGATTAGAGAAAAGTGAGGAAGAATTTGGAAAGGATAGAATTATAGTAATTTAATACCTTATCATCTCTTATTTGAACCGGGAAAATTGTAGTCAAAATTAGATTGTGGAGGAAATTTCAGAGATATTTAAGGGAACCAAAACTGGAAGACTTACAATTGATTTGGCAGAGTTTGGTGTTTTGAGCTTATCAGATTTGTTCTGAAGCAAACTATAGACAGTTTTCTGTAACTATGAAAGTTTCTGTATAAATTATTAAACTATAAAGTCTTTTTTTTTTGTATGTGAAATAACTCATGGAACTTAGAAAGCACTTGTTAAATATTTACTGATGGAATAATGGTCTACAGGGAGACAGAGTGGGGGCTATAAGTGGCTCCAGGATTTTTTAACTCAGACAACTGAGAGGGTGGTGATGCCATTGTGAAGCGGGGGAAGATAATTGAAGGAGAAAAAGGCATTTGCCAACTTGTTTATTAGGGCCTCGGGTTTTTGCCCCTTAAAATTTCACCTGATTTTCCCTCCTTTTCAGCAGAGCATCTCTCATTCCTGTCCTGTCCTAGTCTTGGAGTCCAGGCCAAATGGGTTTTGTGGTGTGATACCACTTGGGCCAGTGAGGCTGGGGGCACCCAGGGCCACCTCAGTGACATTGGGTGCGGAAGGGCCCGTGCAGCACCAGGGATTGAATTTGGGGCATTATGCCTACTGTTTGAACTCTCCCCTGAACTTTCAGCTTTTGTTTCTGTTTGTGGACCAATCCCAGCGGTGCTCAGTGGCTACTCAGTGCTGGGGATGGGCTTGTTCCCATTGGTGCCTGGGGGACCATGCAGTACTGGGGATTGAACCCAGGCCTCCTGCATGCACAGCGGGTGCTCCAAACTGTTAAGCTCTCTCTGTAGCCCCTTTTAACTTTTAAAAATCCATCTTCATATTGATAGTGTAAGAATTCCTATTTTTAATAGAAATGTGCGCCTATTAGAAGTACAGCTAAAAAAAGAGAGAAGTACAGCTGAGGGCCTGAAGCGATATAGCACAGCGAGCAGGACCTTTTACTTGCACGCGGCCAACCGGGGTTCAATTCTCAGCATCCCATATGGTTCCCTGAGCACCACCAGGGGTAATTCCTGGGTGCAGAGCCCATCCCTCCACCAGTGCCCGTTTTCCACCATGACGGTCCCAGTATCCCTCCCACCCCGCATCCCCTCACCCCGCCCTGCCTCTGTGGCAGGGCATTCCCTTTTGTTCTCTCTCTCCTTTTGGGTGTTGTGGTTTGCAAAAGAGACATTGAGTGGCAATCATGTTTGGTCTATAGTCTACTCTCAGCATAATGCCATCACTTTTAAGGGTTCGAATTGCAGCAGTGGTTTTTGGGGGGAGACACAGACATCCATGACATAGATGTCCTTTCTATGCAGTCACAGACCTTTTGTTCAGCTTGGGCACAGAAAAAGAGAGCTGCTTTAACCAACCTAATTCCCTCCCTCCCTCCCTCCCTCCCTCTCTCTCTCCCTCTCTCTCTCCCTTCCTTCCTTCCTTCCTTCCTTCCTTCCTTCCTTCCTTCCTTCCTTCCTCTTTCTTTCCCTTTCCCTTTCTCTTTTTCTCTCTCTCTCTTTCTCTCTTTCCCGAACCATGGTCAGCCTCATGGAACACAAGCCCTCCACACACTGTACTGTCTCTCCAGCCCCCTCAACTTTTTCTCTTTAAGTCTCACATTCTCTTAATTGCTGCACCTGTGTTTTTATTTTTTGTCATACACAATTTCATCTGCTACAATGTTGTATAACTTTGTAAAGTTGGACTACTTCACTTCCCTAGCTTGAAACTTTTCTGTTCTTTCTCCTTGATAATAGGATCAAACTTTTTTGTCAATTAATGATATTAAGTGACAGGATAGTGGTGGAGGATTTGTGGCACTTTGTTGCTGGTGTGGGGCAGATGTATAACTTTATACATCTAAACCATAAACGTTTACACTACTATAACCTTTGCCTAGCTACAATAAAAAAAAAATTTTAAAAAAATTTTTGACCCACACCTGGCAATACTCAGAGTTTCTTCCTAGTTTGCACTCAGGGATCACTCTTGGCAGGCTCAGGTATGTTAGGGATTGAACGCTGGTTTACCGCATGCAAGGCAAGTGCCCTACCTACTTATACTATCGTCCCGGCCCCTATAGCACTGTAGCACTGTCCTCTCATTGTTCATATATTTGAGACCTGTTGTTACTGTTATTGGCATATCAAATACGTCACGGGAGCTTACCAGGCTCTGCCGTGTAGGCGGGCTACTCTCAGTAGTTTGCTGGGCTCTTCGAGAGGCACAGAGGAATCAAACCTGGGTTGACTGCATGCAAGGCAAACACCCTACCCGCTGTGCTAACACTCCAGCCCCTATAACAAAAATCTTTTTACAAATAAAAGGGGGGGGGGGGCTGAAGCATTAGTACAGCAGAAAGGGCATTTGTCATGCACAGCAGACCTGGGTTCAATTTCAAATTCAACCATACAGTGCATCCTGTATGGTTCCCCAAGTTCCACCAGGAGCAAGCCCTGAGAACTGCTGGGTGTGGCCCCAGCAAATAAAAACTAATGATTTTGGAGGCAGCTTGGATATCTGGACCCAAATCTATTCTCATTTCTCTCTTTCCTCTCCCCATTTAATCTCTGACAACTTTTTTTTTCTTTTTGGGTCACACTTGGCGTTGCACTCAGGAATTACCCCTGGCGGTGCTCAGGGGACCATATGGGATGCAGGGAATCGAACCCTGGTTGGCTGCGTGCAAGGCAAACACCCTACCCACTGTGCTATCACTCCAGCCCCTCTGACCACTTCTTTTATTCTTTGTTCAGTCTTCAACTCTCAAACTACAGTTGCATTGCTATTCTTTTTGAGGGGCAGCATTGTGTGGGGTGACTCCCAAGTAGTGCTCTGGAGTCCTGGGGGCCCCACCAGCAATTCCTTGGCTAACTGGCCCTGTTGTTTAGTGCAAGGGTTCAGTGCGATGAGTTCAGGACTCTCTAGGCCCCCTGGCCATGGTGGGGGACCAAAGGCTTCACTTGGTAGCTCAGCACGGCTACACCCTGTGATTCTTGGAAGGCTTTTTAGTGCGAGGAATAGAACCCAGGTTGGGCAATGCTCGGCACACCCCCTATGGCTGTACCATCTCCTGGTCCTGCATTGCTGCTGTTAGCACATCTCAGCAGAAGTCACATTGGTCCCCCTCCCAACCTTTACTTTAAGTTCCTGAGGCTTCGAAGAGTCTTCCTGGTTACTCTCAGAAGTTATACATGAACACTTAAACTCAACACAGCACTTGACCCTGTCATCATCACTATATAAATTACTTTTGTTTGTAATTTTTTGTTTCAACTTCCTGGCAGTGTGTAGGTCTTAGTCCCGGCTCTGCACTCTGGGATCACTCCTGGTACATGCCAGAGATCGAACCCAGGTTGACCACGTGCATGGCAAACCCTTACCCACTGTACTATTTCTCTGTCCCCCTAATTTTAGACGATAAATGTGCTTACTACGTTTTCCAGAGTTGCCTTAGTATGTGGTGCTAGTGGTGTGCTGTATTTATGTTCCTGGGTTAGATCTATGGCTTCTTGAGGGGTTTTTTTGTTTGAGTTTTTCTCTTTTTTTCCACTTTTTATCCTGAGATTGTCGTAGATTCACATGCAGTTTACATGACTATTACTGACTCTCTCAGTGCGTTCTCTGAGAAAATCAAATACTGGTATTGCTTAGGAGGGCATGTAGTGAATTTACATCCTAGATTTCTCTGATCGATGCAGTAAGACCATAGAGAACATAATTGTCAGTCAGTGTCCTGCTGAAATTTTTTGCTGGTGTGGCATGTTGTTCTTGACTTAAAGAGGATGGTGACATATTTCTGTTCAAATAAATGATATTTCCATCTAAATAGATTTGTCCTTCCTTAATTTGTGGAAAATAATTTCCTTGCTTGAAAAATTACAGTTTCCAGTTCTTCAAGTTCTAAGTATAATATCAGAACCCCGCCATTTTTTACACCAGCTTCCATTGACCACAGCTAGCACTTTATGTAACATATGGTTCCTCAAGGGGCTGGAGCGATAGCACAGTGGGTAGGGCGTTTGCCTTGCACGCAGCCAACATGGCCAGCGTGAGTTCGATTCCTCCGCCCCTCTCGGAGAGCCTGGCAAGCTAGCGAGAGTATCTCACCCGCACGGAGAGCCTGGCAAGCTACCCGTGATGTATTCGATATGCCAAACACAGTAACAACAAGTCTCATGATAGAGAAGTTACTGGGCCCGCTCGAGCAAATCGATGAACAACGGGAGGACCGTGATATCCGTGACCCGTGATGGTTCCTCAAGATGCTATAGCTGGGAACTGTGTGATGCTGGAAGGGAATTCTCAGGGGATGGCTATTATAATCTATTAGTGCTAGTGTCCCAGTTTTAAAGACAGAGTAGCCTCCATCCATTGTTACAGTCAGCTATGACGTAATCAGCATAGGCACATTTACTAGGAAGACCGAGGCATTTAGCAAAGGTATAAAGGAGGGTATGGTAACTCCAGAAAGACAAGTCTAATTTATTCTTTGACTTTATCGAGAAATTGTTGATCCCATTGATTAAGCAAATGTTTGAAATGACTCCAAGCCACCAGGTGATGCTGGCCAAGAGTTCTTCCCACTGAGAGGGAGATCTAGAGCTATGAGGCCTTTGCTTTCTTCTGTTGAATAAGGCTTCTCGTGCACATTTGCAGTTGCTCGTAGTATTTTCCCCAGTTACAATAACTTATTGGATATAATAGGATGTCAGTGAGAGAATACTTAAGGAAGTGTGCCCAACCATTCTATCTTAGTCCTGCCGCATCCTGGCATGGTATGCAGTGACTCTCCAAAATCTCTCTGAGCCTCAGTTACTTTATCTGCAAAATTAGGAAATGCCTTAATAAAGATGTGAAGCCGATGTTCACAATAATGATCCTGAGATAGTGAAAGTTCGAATTGCTTATTTTTATCAGAATCAGCTTTGTCCAGAACTAAAAACCTTGCATAACTTTTGATACTAAATCATATAAATCAAAATGATCCATTGCTGAACGATAGTCGAGGAATAGAGTATATCTGCGTTTCTACCTATGGATCCTAAAATACCAACGTATTATTTTCTACAGACCATTCTGAGTATCCTTACAACCACTAAGAACACATTCCTCCTTTTGTGCCAATGAGCAAAAGGTGAGTCAATTTTTCTTTCTTTTCACTGCCTGATACGTTTCTCTTTCTTTGCATTCAGGAGCATGTATCCTGTTTGGAAGTCTTTCCTTGAGGGAACAATGCAAGTAGCCCAGTCTCGGATCAATATATGTGAAAACTACAAAAACTTCATTTCTGAGCCTGCAAGGACTGTGCGAAGCTTAAAAGAACAGCAGCTTAAAAGGGTATTGTTTGATTTTTTATTTTTTATATGCATTTTAACTTGGGGTGCTATGTTTATAATATTTAAGATTTTGTCCATTGGCATTTAGCAACTTGTGCTTTTCCTTTGTGGTCAGACTGTTCCTAATTTCAACATGTTTCCTCTAACTAGTGTCTTTTACTGACAGCCAATGACAGACATTTAATTTGATTCTGGAAGCTCTATTAACACAATGATTACTTTTCAGTGTAACTCAGATAACTAGATCTAAATAAGCAGTTCACAGTTTTGTTTTAATTTTTATGTTAAAATAATTACAAAGTTACCAATCCAGTCTTAAAAAATTTTAGTTTCAGTTAGCCATTTTGAATAACTAAAGAATATCGACATATTTTGACTGATACAAAGAAAATTCATTTCTAAAAACAGTATATTCTGAAGTTTAATTTGATTTTTATAGTAAAGAGTCATTATTATTTTTATAAGATCTCACTCTTAAAAGTAGGCGATTGAACTGTACTCTTGTAGGAATTATTTCAAAAATAGATTATCATGTTGCCTAATGAGTAATTAGGTTTTTATTATGAAAGTATTAATACTCTGGACAATGTTAAAATGTTTAAGAAAATTATTTTAGAAGCCATCCAGTGTTTTTGTTCTAATTGCCATTTGGATTTTGGGAACTTTTTTACAGATAAATACTAAAGACACAGTTTTAATTTTATTTTACAAATGAAACTGGGGACAAAAACCTTCCTTGTTGGCTAAATATAAATTTAGGACCTGGAGAAATAGTACATTGGTCCTTTGCATGATGCTGACTGTGGTTTGAACCCTCCACCACTTGGTCCCAATGTACCACCAGAAGCAGCTTCCATGCAGAGCTGAAATAGGTAAACACTACCAGGTGTGACTCAGAATTCAAAAAAGAGAAAGGCAGTTTTAGTAGAGTGATATTAATTGTTACTTACATACTGTATGTATATAAAATCTCAATTTCAAGCACTTACAGATTATTAATTGGTTTAAGCATAATTAATGCATGTATTTTATTTTTGCTCAAAAGTGCGTCTTTCCAAGCAGACATGGTGAATAAACTACATAGTCAAGACAAAACAGGTGCTTTCCAGTCAGAAAAATATATTTTGTGTGTGTTCATGTGTACCCATTTTTGTATTCAGAGAAAGGGTAGGAGTTAGGGACCAAGAATTAGTATTGATGTAACTTTGATAGGAAATACTGTGTCTCAAATTGTCGACACATTCTCACCAGATCTAATTGAATTGGAAAGCTTCTTCTTTCTCAATCACTGTCGCTGTCACTGTCCTCCCATTGTTCATCTATTTGCTCGAGTGGGCCCAGTAACATCTCTGTTGTGACAATTGTTACTGTGTTTGGCATATCGAATATGTCACGGGTAGCTTGCCAGGCTTTGCCATGCAGGCGAGATACTCTCGGTAGCTTGCCAGGTTCTCCAGAGAGGGGCGGAGGAATCGAACTCGAGTCAGCCATGTCGGCGGCGTGCAAGGCAAACGCCCTACGCACTGTGCTCCAGCCCCCTTCTTTCTCAATATTCAAATATTTTGAAGGAGTTGATGCCATACTTTCTTCAGTAGAATAGTCTCTGACCTGAATTCAACATTTCAAAGAATGAAATTTGGCGTATTTTCATTATTTGTGAATTTATTTGTTTTATATTATAACTGATAATAACAGTACACATGTTCCATCTAAGAACTGTTACGCATGGTTTCCACTGCAGATACGAGAAAAAAAAGTGTTCTCATGCTTTCTGCCTGTCTGATTGGGATAGCCCATCTTGAATGAAAAATACAAGAGAAAAAAAAAACAAGAGAAAGAAAGAAATGTTACACTTGTCAGAACTCTAAGGTCACAATTGACAGGAGACTTCTACTCCCAGTTGATTTTAGCCAGGAAGAGAATGTATAACTAGAAATTTCATTATGGATCAAATCTAGGCAGGGATAGATTTAGATGCTCAAGTGATAGTTAAATGAAGGTTAACTGATGGTTAAATGATTCTCAAATGAAGGGATTTCTTTTTTTATCCCATTCATTAATTCTACTTTCTCAGATGGCATCATTCTTTTGTTTTGGGACCTCATCTAGCTGTATTCTGAGCTTACGCCTGGCTCTGTGTTCATTGATCACTCATGGTGCTTGGGAGACTACATGTGGTGCTAAGGGATCTAACTGGGGTTGGCATCGTGCAAGGTAACCCTTGCCATCTCTCGGGCTCCCAGTGACTTTATTCTTAAGCAACTCTCTCCACATGTTGGCCCAAATTTGCATATCTTACAACAAGCAATTTTAAGTTTTACAAAAAGGTCAACAGAACTATCAAAATTAAAGTTTGTGATTTCTCTTGGGTCCCTGACGCGACACCAGAGGGTCGTAGTCCTTAGGTAGACTGTATGGCAAAATTGAGCTGGATTCCCAAAGTTAAAAACAAGAGAAATAGGAACACAGCAAACCAAAGCAAAAAATAAACACTAAAATGGACTTCTTCAGTAAATCATAAATAGTACTGCATTGTACTCAAGAATGCTGTCTTGATTTCAGTTTATTCGGATAAATACCCAGAAATGGAAAGGCTAGATCACGTATTGGGGCTGTTTTCAGTATTTTGAAAAAATGACTCAAAAAACTGTAGTTTGAGAATACTGTTTTTCGTGACAGCTGCACCATTTTTGTTTCTATAAACGGTACACAAGAGTTTTGATTTTTTTCAGAACCTCACCAGCGCTTCCCTTTTTTCATTTTCATCTATTTCATTGCAGTCTGATTGGCAGGTAGCATATTAGTTTCAGATAAAAAACATAATTATTCAGTATTTGCCTATATTATGAAATAATAGAGCACTGCATTAAGCTAGTTGACATCTTGATCAGTTATAAATTATTTTTCTTATTACTTTTTATGATAAAAATTTTCATATTTATAGTTTAATCAGCTTTCCTATATTAAAGTATTATTACCATAGTCACCATGTTTTATATTTCATTTCCATGAGTTGTTTTACGATTGTGGGTTCGTATATATATTCTTAGTCCTCTGCGCATTTCACCCACCTCTCACCACTGACTGGTAACACCATAATATCCATGCTTTAGTTTTGGCGTTTTTTTTTCCCATTTATTTATTTTTAAGATTCCACATAAGTAAAATCACATGGCTTTTATTTTCCACTGATTAATTCAAGTCGATGCTCCTGAGGTCCCTTCCAAGTTGTCGCAGAGGATGTGCGGGTGATCTGGCTGCGACATCTGTCACCCCATTGATCGCCAGGGTTGATTTGGCTGACCTGGCTGGCTAGGCGGGTGTCCCCTTCCTCCCTCACCGCTCCATGTGCGACCCTCCCGAAGCTGCGCGCTCGGTCGAAGAGGACGGCCTTTCCCAAATAGAGACGGACTGGTCTTCGGTCGAGAGTATACCAGTAGCTGCGCTCCCCTGCTAGAACCTCCAAACAAGCTCTCAAGGTTCATGTTGTCGCAGATCGCATGGCTTCATTCTTTTCATGGCCAGTTAGTATTTCACTATATATTTATACCACTTTCCTGTATCCATTCATCCATCTGTATTTTGGATGTTGTAAATAACAAATACTGAATGTGAGAGTACATCTGTCATTAAAAAAAAAATACTTGGGAAAAAAGAAAAGTATGTGGAATTTCTGAATCCTATGGTAGTTCTGTTTTTACTTTGTTGAGACACTTCCATGCTGCTTTTTATAGCAGCTGCAGAAAACAATGATTCCAAGGAGTCTCTTTTCTCTACTCCCCCTTTGACATTTGAGTTTTTTCCTTGTTTTGTTGGGGGGAGCATGCCCTGTGATGCTGTGGTTTTAGTCATGGCTTTGTACTCAGGAATCATTCCTGGAGGGTTTGAGGAACCATATGGGATACTGAGGATAGAACCCGAGTCAGCTGCATGTAAGACATACATTCTACCTGCTGTTCTACTGCTCTGAACCCTTTTCTTGCATTTTTTGAGTCAAATCTGACCCATCTGAGGTATGTAATTTTTTTATGCCTTTTCAGAAATTGAAAAGGCATAAAAAATTTAGTTTTTCCATTGTTTTCTCTCTTGCCCTTTCTCTTGGTTTTGATTACATTTTATTGGCTAGAGGTGATATTGAGTGGGGTTTTATTTTTTTCCTTCTTACTTACCTGTAGCTCCTTGTCTGTCCTTGGAGAACTGTCTATTGAGATCACCTGTTTTTAAATTTCGACGCAGCTTTGTTGTTTTTGTTGATTTGTTTTTGCTGTAGAGTTGTGTGAGTGCTTGCTTGCTTGCTTGCCGTTAACTCACTTTCAGATAGATAAATGACTTGCAAATATTTTCCCTCTAAATGATATGTTGCCTTTTTAATTTTGTCGACACTTTCCTTTGGTGAACACAAGTTTTATTATTATTTTTGTTGTGGTGGTGTTATATTTTTGTTTTTGTCGCTTTTGCTTTGGGAGTCAAATCCAAAAAATCACCACCAACAGTCATGTCAGGGAACTGACCGCCTGTCTTGAAACTTAATCCATTTGAGTTAAGTCTTGCCTTGCTAGGTGCAACGCCACACCCTCCCTCAGTGCTCTGAGCCCTCCTCGTCATCCCAGGGTCTCCCCCTTCACCGCCCTCTCACACACCCACCCCCTCAGCGCACTGTCCTGTCCCCCACTTCCCCTCCAGCGATATGCTTCCTATGAAAGACCGGTTCTCAGCTCCCGTCGCCTTTGAGTCTTTGTTCTTCACTGTGTTGCTCTATATTGCACTGTATGAGAAGCTCTTTCTGTATCTGTCTCTCTCCTTCTGACTAACTTCATTCAGCATGATACTCTCCAGAGCCATCCATGTAATCACAGATTGCACGCTTCCATTTTTTTCTGATAGCTGAGTAGCATCCCTTGTGTAAATGTTTTACAGTTTCTTTATCCAGTCATCTGCTTTTTGTTGTCATTGTTATTATTGTATTTTGTGTATGTGTGTTTTGGGTCACACTTGCTGTGCTCAGGGCTTACCCTTGGCAGTGCTCAAGGACCAAATGTGTGAGGGATCAAGCCGGGGCCAGCATCTAGCAGGCACAGCCAGTTTTAAGCAGAGTAACTAGCTTCCATTCGCCTTCTCTAATAACTGAATGTTTGCATTCATGTTCATTTAAAAATTCTGTTTTGACCCTTTCCTTTCTTAATACTTGAGGATAAACCCAGACACGTTTCATTTGTGACAGGTCTGAGCGCTGTGGAGATTATAATGAGAATTGCATAGCATTTTTTTCCATCATTTCTGTATGTGCACAGTCGGTAATAAATTAAAACCACAGCCAAGGTCACTAGCATTTTACACTTACTCAAGCTTTTATCCGTGTATTTCTCGTTTATTCTGGCTTACCTTCCGTGATATAACTGATGTACATCTTTGAAATGTCGTGGGGTGTGTGGAATGCTGCTGTATTCATTGTACTCTCACTTGACTCTCACAATCCATTCTAGTTGATTGGCACAGAAATACTGTTTTGCAAATGAAACTGAAGCAAAAAATTGTTAAATTTAACTATTAAGTGACATGGCAGGAACTTGAATATACTGCTTCCAAATCCTCTGCAAATTTTAGAAAACACTTGAGGTTTAATATTCAAGCCTGTTCACCTCAGTTGACTGCTCCCTCCTTCCTTGAGGAGAATTCCTTTGCTGTGGTGTGCTACTTAATCCTCCTATTTCTTTTATCCTTTTAATGGTTAGAAATAGTGTTAGTTAATACATCAGTAATTGGTTTTAGGTTATTCTATTTCCCAATTAAATGGTCATGTTTCTCTACAATTTTTATGCTTATTATTTTTTAATCGATGGGTGAGTTTTTCTTCTGCTTTTTAAGTCATTCTCGGGGCTGGAATGATAGAAGAGAGGGTAGGGTACTTGCCTTGCACACAGCCAACTGGGTTAGACCCCCAGTATCCCCTACGGTCTTCCAAGCCTCCCAGAAGTAATCCCTGGGCATGGCTAGATGTGGCCCAAACAAAAACCAAACAAACAAAAAACAACAATAAATAAATATGTTTTTGATATTATTATTAAATCTGCAGTAAAATTAATTTTTCCCAAAGTTTTTGTTTTCATTTATTGTTTTGGGAATCACACCTGGTGATGCTTGGGGAACCATGAGATGTCAGGGATTGATCCTGGGGCTTCCACAGACAGAGCATGCACCCCTGCCCTCTGAGCCGTCTCCCTGTTCCCTTCTAAGCTATTTGGGGGATGTGTTTCTTGGACTCTATTACAAAGTCAGAGAACCTGTTGGTTTCTTGAACTTTTGGCATATCATTCAAGTTACTGTCTTCAACTTAGTAGCAAGTACATCTCTCAGTATCTTGCATCAATGGGGATTATGCAATTGTTTTTTCCTTTTTGTTTTTTGTTTTGTTTGTTTTTGGATCACACGTAGCTGTGCTCGCCTCATGGGATGAGGGGATCAAGCCCAAGTTAGCCACAAACAAGGCAAGCACTTGATCTACTGTACTCTCCCTGTGGCCCAAATTTTCTTTTCCCTTAGTTATATCTCTTGGGTCTGTCACACATATTCACTATACGTGTGTATGTGTAGATATTTCACATATTTTTAAATAATATGTGTACATAATTTTTCTCATCTCTTTTTTTGCCTTTTGTTTCTTTTCTGGTTTTATTTTGGAGGGCGGAAGTGGGGGGGAATCCTCCCAAGTGGTGCTAATGGCACCAGCAGTACTTCAGAGGGTATGTGGTGCCTGGTATCGAACCTGGGACCTTGCACATACAAGGCATATCCTCTGCCCTTTGAGCTGTCTTCCCCAGCCCTGCTCTCATCATCTTAGTGTAAGTGTAGGCTCTTCTTTCTGTGTCTGCTGAGTACTGATAAGCCTAGGGAAGGGGCTAGGCTTGTATCATGTAAAGATTTTTCTTAACATAAGCATTATTAAGTTTACTTTTAAGAATATACCTGTCAATCCCAGGAAACTGGATTTCTACAGGAAAATTTTATTTTAAAGACTTGAAAGTCTGGGCTGGAGATATCCTCAAAGAACCAGTGCACGTGCCTTGCATGTGGGAGTTCAGTCGTCAGCAATGCCTGGGCCCTCAGTTCCCTGAGCAACGCCAGCTTTTGCCCCCAAACCAAAATAATAATAGTGATAGTAACAATAAAAGTTTAGAAAGACTACAGAAATTTCAAGTAATATTTTTTGTTGTTGTTGTTTTGGGGGGGTCACACCTGGCAGTGCTCAAGTAATCTATTTTTAAAATCATAACTTAAGCCTGATAGCTTTTATTTTACAAATATTTCTGGTAATTTACTATGTGAAGAGCACTCTCCTTTGAAGAACCGAAAACATTCCGACTTGAAACAGTTTACTTGTGGTGGAGTACATTTGGTTGCAGAATAACTGAATCTTGGAAAAGATTGTGAGAAATCTCAGTGTTCACACAGGCTTTCTCTAATAATGTTTGATATGCTTGTCTTAGAAGTATACGTCAAGAGTAAAAATTGAGTAGGAATCAAATCAACCAGGGTTTTTTTAGGTCTTGGGGAAATCCTATTAGATACAATCTCTCACAAAATACACTTGATGTTGTTACACCTATAGAAAGAAATTTAATAGCGTTTTATAGATGAAAATGAGTTAAATTATCTTTTTTAGGATGTTTGATTACCCAGGTCTAAGGAGAGATGTTTTGTTCTTCAAAGAGTAAGGATGTAAAAAGTGAGTGGCTGTGTGTCTGCATGCGCAGACATCGAAGATTAAACTAACCCTATTGCCTGCGGTTTTCAGTCCCAAGAAGGCCTCTTACTTGTAGTGTTTAGGTCCCTTTCAAAATATTTGAAATAGCTTCCCTGCTTAGTTCCTGCCTATCCCTGTAGAGGTTTTGCGCTGACCTTCAGTTTAGAAGCATTGTTTTGTTTTCTGAAGTCTGGCTTCACTGTTCTGGAGGAACATTTTGAACATAGATACTCTATGACTCCTTTTTCTGTTTTTCTTTCTTTTTTTTTTTCAATTCTACTCAGCATTTATTTTCATTTGAAGAAAGTGGAAATCAAATATAAATCACGGAAAATACGAGTTCATCTTGCTTGGCAACTAAGTATGACTCCTTTTTAAAGCAGCCTAGCCCATCTTCTCATTAAACACAGTTAACTTTTTCAGGCCACCCCCTATTACTCAATTTTTAATTGTACAAAGGCTTAACTGATAAGCTTAGGACTTTGTGATTTCCCCCTCTCCCCCAAGGTAAGGATGTGAGGTTTAGCAGTAGCCCGGCCCTCAGGAAAGCTGAAATCCATTCTTCCAACTCTATAGAAAGTTCCCCAGGTTTCTACAAGGGACATGGCCAAGTCCATGAGTCCCATGTTACAGACCCAGTGATCAGTGCCAAAAGCATCACATACGTGTGGTGCATTGTAGCTTCACCTAAATACTGTTTATCTCTCTGGACTCATTAGGCCATCTTACTAACCAACACAGTTGACATTGTGTCTTCATTAGGTTTCTTTTGAAACTCAGACCTAAGAAGTTAAGTATAAAGGGCCAGTTCTTAGGCAGAGGGAAAAGAGCCTATTCGGAGCTGTTATTTTTCTTTTGCTTTTTTTCCTTCTGCCTTTTATTCAAAGGTAGACACTAAGTGCTCAGTAAATATGCCCATAAGCAATCTTCCAGATCTCTCATTTCCTATAAAGCATTCCTTTATACCACCAACCAATTTCTAGCCCATGTATCCCATTTTTAGGGTTTTTTCCCTTTTATTTTTATCCTTCTGATGTCCTTGCTCTACTCCCCAGTGTTCAGCTGGTCCTCCTTCATCAATATCTCCTCCTACCTCTTCAAAGACTTGACTATTCTCCACCAAATAACTGGCTGCCGTTCCAGACTCACACTGTGAGGGAGTTGCCTGTTTTGAACTGGGGTCAAGCTGGAGAAATTTCTCTGTGATTTGTTTCAGACTGGAGGCAGTGATTTGCTTTTAGATATCCTCAAGTGCTCCAGTGCAGTATTACTTTGCCACACAGATCTGAAAGTTTATTGATGAAGCATTTTTCGTTATTATGCCTCTTCTTCCTTCTGGAATGTCTGTGTGTATCTCTAAAGCCTTGACTTGGGGGTGTTTGAAGTAACAGTTATGTGGTACTCGGTTTTCTTGCTTCTCTTATTTATCTCGGTCTTACTCAGTCACACTTGTCAGATTTCACCCGTCCTTTGTCACAATGAATTCTTCAGCACTGTTTTGCGTCTTTGGCTTCCAGAAATGTAAAGAGGCTTTATAAAGACTGTTAAAGGAATAAAGAAATGCTCTTTGCTTTTGTTTTTATTGCAGTGCTGTCTTTAAGAGAATTTTCACTGATGTTCTTCTGTGCCTTGCCTTAATATCAGTCATGGGCAGCATTTAGAGGATTTTTTTTTTCCTCCTCTTAAATCCGAGTTGTTAAGTAAACCGACAATCTTCAGCACATTACTTGAGAGGGAGCACCAGCTGCTCGCTGGATTCTGATTTGCAATTTGAAGGACATTGAAAGTGCTGATTCTTCTCCTGGGTTTTCATCCTGAAGATACGGTGCCTCGTCCTTGGGACAAGCTCGTTCTCAGTCAGACGAAAAACTGAAATTGTAATAACTGCTCTTTGTATTTTACAGTGTGTGGACCAGTTGACAAAGATCCAAGCTGAGTTACAAGAGACGGTGAAAGATTTAGCTAAAGGCAAAAAGAAGTACTTTGAGACCGAACAGATGGCTCATGCAGTACGAGAGAAAGCTGACATTGAGTCAAAGTATGTTTTATCATTTCTGAAAACGTGATTATGCAAATCAGTGTTATCTTTGCCAGTATTTTGTTTTCTGTTAATATAAGGCATTGGTTTTTTCTTAGGTGATGTTGGCTTCATTTGACCTACACTTGTATTTTAGATCACATTTTTCTTTCATATTGACTGGTTTTAGTTAACATAGTTAAATAGAGACATTTGGTCAGTTTTCACATTGATTTGAATTTTAGAAAGGAAGGAAATTAAATGAACGTTTCATTTAAATCTTAGCAAAAAGTCCCTTAAAATGGCAGTGGTGCCTGAACATCAGGGTTTATGAGCTACATTTTTCTCATGACAGACTTCACATCCGTTAATGATGAGATGGAAATCCCTGGTCCTCAGCTTGCCACTGAAGGGGCATGGCCAGGTCACGTGGGCACAGGCACTGGTTCAGGCAGAAACCCTGCTCTAGGTGCAGCTTTTTCTATAATGTGAAAATTTCCATATGTACTTTTTTTGGGGGGGGGGGTCACGCCTGGCGATGCACAGGGGTTACTCCTGGCTCTGCACTCAGGAATTACTCCTGGAGGTGCTGGGGCCCATATGGGATGCTGGGAGTCGAACCCGGGTTGGCCGTGTGCAAGGCAAACACCCTACCCCCGTACTATCGCTCCAGCCCCCCACATGTACTTTTTAATGTAAGCTTTGGCAATTTAGGATTTTACTTTCAGTACATGTGAACAACCATTCCTGTATTTTGAGAATGATTTGGAAAAGAAAGAACTGACTATTGGTACTCAAAAGAGAAAGCAAGGACAACTGAAGAAGATAAGAACTTCTTCCTTCCTTCCTTCCTTCCTTCCTTCCTTCCTTCCTTCCTTCCTTTCCTCCTTCCCTCCTTCCCTCCTTCCCTCCTTCCCTCCTTCCCTCCTTCCCTCCCTTAGTTTAGGGATCCTTCCTAAACTAAGACTTTATTATAGAGCGTGACTCTGAAGAAATGTGAGAAGAGCTGAAACTCCCTTTCCAGGAGATCGCTGACGCAAAATCTAGGAATCTGAAATCCCAGGCATGAAGTCAAAAGGGCCTTGAACTACTGCAAAAAAAACTAGCCCGGAAAGGGGGGGGGTGAGAGAGAGAGAGAGAGAGAGAGAGAGAGAGAGAGAGAGAGAGAGAGAGAGAGAGGGAGGGAGAGGGAGAGGGAGAGAGAGGAGAGAGTGTGTGTGTGTGTGTGTGTGTGTGTGTGTGTGTGTGTGTGAGTGTGTTTATATTGTATGCTTTTATCTGCAAGAAATGAAACCATCTCATAAGCATCTCAGGGCTTCCTGAAAGTTTCTTAGTACCCAGAGATAGTAACTACTCAGTCCTTAAGACATAGAAAACCGTGTTTTCCCTAACTTGTCTTCTTTTGGATTCTTGTAAGTATCTCTCTATATTTCCTTTGCTTTTGGAGAATAAGTGAGTAAAAGTTTTTCAACAAAGTGATCTTCTTTAGGAAATGCCTGTCATGGGAGTTTTTAGGAACTTTTTTGTTAAAAGTTCTCAGGGTTCTAGAAAGTTGACGGGTTTATGGAGCATATAAATAATTAGCTGAGGACCCCAGGGTGAAAATGAGGATAGTTGCAAAGCACTTCCTGAGAAATGCAGCTTTGACCGTCGAAATCACAGATACTAATTCCAAAAAAAAAAAGAAAGAAAGAAAATGTCTTCTGATAAGGCCCAGATTCAAAGGGTACAGCAAATCAGACTTTTAACTCAATATATAAGTATCTTTCCTGGAAAAGTAAGTAACTACAGAGTAAGGAATGCCTCTTTTATCTTCATTAACTCTAAACATTTATTGAATAATTATATTGATTGGGTACAGAAATGAGTAAGATAAATTTTGTTCCCTCAAGAAATTTAAAAGCTAGAATTAGACATAAATGTACTTAAAAGTAACTTTATGATTTGATTATTCACAGTAAACTAAAATTGAGTTCCTAAGTTACTTAACCTAAGAACTAATGTACATGTGGTAGTAGGATGAAAACACTCTTATATAAGCAAAGGAAGAAATTAATTTCCGCTAGCGAAAAAGGGAACCTTCCTAGAAGAATGACTTTTGGATGGGCCCAAAGGAAGAATATGATTTTTCTTTTTTCTCTTTTTTTTTCTCCCTTCCTTCCTTACTTTCATGGTGGGGGTAGGGGACAGCCACACCCAGTGGCATTCAGGGCTTACTCCTTACTTCAGGCTCTACATTCAGGGATTACTCTTGGAGGATTTGGGAACCGTATGGGACGGCAGGGCATAAACCTGGATTGGATGCATGCAAGGCAAGCACCCTACCTGCTATACTATTATTTCTCCAGTCCCAAATGTGATTTTTCTAAGTGAGGGCAAAAGGAGGAAGGTACAAGGAGGAAATGAAAACATGGCAACATTTATTTTTTGATAGATTATTGAAAGGTGCTAAAATGTGCACATCAGGTGAGAGCACAGAATGAGGAAGGATGTGGCTAGAAGGAGGATTTCTACATGGATGGTAAATTTTATAGAACCTGTAGAACATTGGGGTGAAGAAACTAGGGAGTCAAGTGTATGGCTCTCAGATGAGAGCTTGAACCTGAAAACCTCCGTCAGGTTCAGTTACTTATCAGATGGTAGTAATGGGAATTAAATAATACTGTTAATGAGAGAAGTTGAATTTGGACCCTAAAGAACATTGTCATTAGAGTGGAGCACTTTCCTTCATTTGGAAGGTAGATGAAACCCCGGTGTGTGCAGTACAGTTCATTATTTGAATATCTCTTTATTTGTTCTAGATTGTAATCTAAATTGAGGACAGGAACTGTAATACTCAATTACTAGTACCTACTTCAGTACTACTTAAGAAGCATATGAGGATTAACAAATAAAGCAGAAGCCAGGAACTGGAAACCTTACATTGGAAAATCAGGTGCAGCTCAGACTATTTAGATAATGACGAAAGAAAATGAAGAATTGGCAAGTGCCCAAATACATCCTTCCTGTATTTCTGACCAGGCACTCTCACCATTTAAAATTTGTGGCCTTCACTTTTCTTTATCAAATGATTAAGAGTCTGATTAATAAAATCAAAGGAAATCACAAATCTGACAAGGTGGCAAACAACAGGAATATCCTAGACTCATCCCCCCACCCCCACCCCCAGCAGTAGGTAGGCATTGGGATGCGTAGGCTTATATCCTTTGGATGTTTCTCTCATTAGATAGATGAGCCCTGGGGCTGGAGCAATAGTATAGCGGGCAGAGCATTTGCCTTGCACGCGGCTGACCTGGCTTCGACCCCCAGCATCCCTTATGGTCCCCTGAGCACCACCAGGAGTAGCCCCTGAGCATCACCAGGTGTGATGCTAAAAGCAAAAGAAAAAAGAAATATGAGCCACTCTTCTTGCCCCCTGACGTTTTTCTCTGCATGCTGGCTGCTGGCTCTCCCACTCCCAAGTGGTCTGCAGCCTGACTTCCTGTGACAGCAGAGCTGCCAGCACATGCATCGAATTCTCCCCTGGCATCACCATGGCACTGCCTTCAAGACAAACATTGCCGTTCCCAGACTGACTGGTTGTGGGAGTGTTGTTTGCTCCTTAGTGTTTTCTGGTGGCTTTGCCCTTGTGATTATCTCTAGTTGTTTGGGTAAAAAGCATCATCTTTTCACGACCGGTTGTTAGATGATGGATCCTCTTCCGAACTGAAAGGAACTGAGGGAAATAAGGACACCAGAATGGAAGGAATTTCAGTAGAGTAAATCACATGCCGCGGAGAATGCAGGGATTGTCTCTTTCAACCCACCATGCTAAAGAGTAGAGGGACAAAGAGGCAGGCGCCCAAGCAAGGACTTTCTGAAACTTTATTTTTTAAGTAATTCTTTCATGGATTAGATCTTATTCCATAGTATTTCTAAACCAAGGTATACCTAGCCTTTGCTGTTTTTACTATGAAGCCTATATGCAGAAGTACACAGGACAAAGATATAATGTAACATATTTAACTCACTGAAAGGAGTGTAACCACCACCCAGGTCACAAAATGGAATTTTGCAAATACCAAAGCTATTCTTTCTTTCATGATTTCCTTTTAAATGGTATTAGAGATGATGTCTAATTTTTTTCTTTTTCATTTTGTTCATTAAAAAAGGCATTTAGGGGCTGGAGCGATAGCACAGCAGGTAGGGCATTTGCCTTGCACGCAGCCCGACCCTGGTTCGATCCCCAGCATCCCATATGGTCCCCCGAGCACCGCCAGGAAGGAGTGATTCCTGAGTGCATGTGCCAGGAGTAACCCCTGAGCATCAGCGGGTGGGACCCAAAAAGCAAATAAATAAATAAATAAATAAATAAATAAGGCATTTGGGGAAACACATTCTACTTTGAAATTGCCTGCATCCCCACCTGGAGTAATTCCTTTCTTTCAATTTAAGGGGTTCCCTCTTCTCTTTCTCATATTTCCTAAATAAAATTATTTTGCTTCAAAAATACTGAGATAAATATTATCCAACTAATACATAAGAAGGTTTGATGGGAGAAATAATGGAATTTAAAAAAAAACTTCTTATAGCCTATTCAATATCATGTTGTAGATTCCATTCCTGGTTGGGTGATAGCCTATGTAATTTAGCATTGAAATTACATAGCATTGAAATTACATTGCTAATTTTTGCCTCGATATGTTAACTTTTCATGGGCTACTGTCATTTTCCTTGAAGAATTATCTGATAATGAGAATAAACTATAGTCTGATGACTCTTGTTCATTAGAGTCCACCAGTATATGGAATTTGTCAAACTATGTTTCTATCATTGTTGCTATTTTAGTTTTATTAATCTAATACTTTCTGTTTACCATATGAAAATTTTCTTTAGAAAATTTTAAAAAATCATTCCTTCGTTTTCCAATTTTAGTTCTCTTTAAAGGTAGCATTATAGAGAATAGTCACTTTTTAAAAATTTAGTAATTATATCTCTGTATGAATTGTTTTGTGATATAATTTGATAATTTTATTTACCGTCCTTTTTTTTTATAGATCTAAACTTAGTCTTTTTCAGTCAAGAATCAGTTTACAGAAGGCAAGTGTAAAGGTGAGTGTTTGAAAATCATTCCGTAGTGGAAAAGCCTTACTAACTTTTTTTGTTTGTTTGTTTGTTTTGCTTTTTGGGTAGCACCCAGCGATGCTCAGGGGTTACTCCTGGCTCTGCATTCAGGAATTACTCCTGGAGGTGCTCAGGGGACCATATGGGATGCGGGGAATCAAACCCAGGTTGGCCACGTGCAAGGCAAACGCCCTACCTGTTGTGCTATTACTCCAGCCCTGCCTTACTAGCTTATTTAAAAAAAAAAAAAGAGGTGGGTCTTCTGAGGACAGAGGTCAGTTATTTCCACTTTATTTCAAAAAACACTTTACATTTACACTGTACATTCACACAGAATGTACAGAAGTACTCTCCTTCCTGCTCCATGAGATTTTTTTTAAAGACTCATGTTAGCACTGTTTGCTTCTCAAGGATGCTTCAGAGATAGGTTTCTATACTTTAGTCTGCCGTGTTTAACTGTTAGCCCAAGTTAGTCTATGAGCTTTAGAAAGCTTTACAAAGTCTGTTTCCCTGACACTTACTTACACCCCTGAGTAGATAGTCTGGATCCAGTGCAACTGTTTCCATCCCGTGGGCCCCCAGCTATGGGCGCTGAGAAGGCAGCCAGCCAGTGCTGCCCAGGTGCCAGGTTCCCAGGGTCGCTCAGATCTGCTGGTACATTGAAAGGGATGTTGGGAGGATGTGTGTGGAGGGGTTGTTTGTTTTAACTCTTTTCTAACTCTAGCCTGTGACTTGAGAGTACTTAATTTGGGGAGTCTTTATTTTCCTACCTGAATAAAATGGACATTTTTAATTTCTCTTATAAAATAATTTTTGGAATTATGTTAAGTTAAATAGTAACTTTAAAAAATACCCCTACCCTGTGTAATAGTTCTAATCCCTGTTTAATTCCTCAACATTGTTAATTTTTTTTTTTAATTTTTGGGTTATTTCCTGCAGTGGTGGGTAGACCATGTGGAGGCAGAATTAGAGAGTCTGACCTCCGTCAAAGCTTGTCCTCCAACCCTTTATTTCCTTGGCACCTCTCAATAGTGTTGTCTTTTATAAGCATGTAAATGTTTCTCTGTCTCAAATTATTTTTATTCTTTGAAGGAGTTCATTACCAACCAAGAGTGGTATCCAGATATCTCTTGCAGTGCACTATCAATTTGAACTGATTTTTTTTTCTCTTTTACTGTGTTTTAGTTAAAAGCCCGGAGATCTGAGTGTAATTCCAAAGCTACCCATGCGAGGAATGATTATCTTCTTACGTTAGCAGCAGCGAATGCACACCAGGATCGCTACTATCAGACAGATCTAGTTAACATCATGAAGGTAACGCAGCCTCAATATTTGTGGGATTGTGACAGAAACAGCGCATGGTGGACTTTTGGTATTCTGAGGAATACCGCTAGATGATTTATATTTAATTGGTATATACTTGATATTGCTTGAGTAATCTCTGTTTCAGGCTATTCTGAATTAATTTTTAGTGTGCGAAAATCTTTAAAGCCAAATCACAGTAAAGGATTGTATTATTGACTGACTGGTGGTTGTTACTGTGTGAAAAAATGTCCTTTTGCTTTCTGGGGACACTCCTGGTGCTTCTGGGAGGCCAAGTCTCCAGGTGGCCCTTGTATATGTGAAGCATAAAGTTTTACTCAAAAATGTACTAAAATGCTGAGTTTTCTAGGTCCAGTATTTTATGGGAAAGCGCAGGGCTCTCACTAGAGTATGAGAATAATTCCTTATTTCTCTCACCACCTGATTCTAATCAACAGAAGTCAGAGACCAGGAACATATAACAGTGGGTAGGGTGCTTGCTTTGCTTGCAGGCAACCCGGGTTCAATCCCTGGTACCCTGTATGGTCCTGAGCCCTGCCGGGAGTGCCAGGAGTGGTCCTTGAGCACAGAGCCAGGAGTAAGCCCTGAGCACAGCTGGGTGTGACCCAAGAAGGAAGCAAATAATAAAATAAAATAAAACTGAAGTCAGGTGAGGGCAGAGCTAGGAAAAGGGGATTTGGGGCAGTGACCAAAGAAGGCACTATAGCACTGTAGCACTGTCCTCCCGTTGTTCATCGATTTGCTCAAGCAAGCACCAGTAACGTCTCCATTGTGAGACTTGTTACTGTTTTTGGTATATCAAATAACGTCACGGTTAGCTTGCCAGGCTTTGCCGTGCAGGCACGATACTCTGAGTAGATTGCCGGGCTCTCCGAGAGGGACGGAAGAATCAACCGGGGTCAACCCAGGTCAGCTGCATGGAAGGCAAGCGCCCTACCCACTATGCTATTGCTCTAGCCCGAGCAAAGAAGGAAAGAAAACAATTTTGCGATTAAGATATTTCTTGGTCTATTAGCTGCTATATAACAGCAACTCAATTAAGTTTCTGTTATTGTATTGGCAGGTTGATCTTGTGTGCCTGTCTTTGAAATGTGTTTTCTGAATTTTTGTTATGGTTGTGATTCTCTAGATAGAATCTTAAAAAAAAAATAGAATTATATGGCTAGCTTCAAAAACAGGAGAGTTGTTTTATTGACTTAAACAAACTTAATACTCCCTTGTACTGTGGGAACCGCAGTATCGGCTTGGAGAAGTAGAGAGGAGCAGGACTAACCCCCCTTCCTTCCACATCTAGCAAGTGGTCTTCCTTCCTTGCCTGTAGAGAAAACAGAAGCCATTGAAAGAGAGCCCCCTCATCACCCCATTCCCATTCAGCTGTGTTTGAGCCTGTTCCAGGGGCTCTCTCAATAGCAGAGTTGTTCTTCCTGTCTGAAGATGATCTTTTCATCTGAGCTTTGGATCCTGTCTCATCCCCTCCTGCCTTCTCAAGTGATTGAAACAATCGATTATTTTATCTTTTCCTCTCGGACGCTCTATTCTGGGGTACACAGTTGATGGGATCTTGGTGATGAGCGGCCTCATTATGCCCGTCCTTTGCGTCACACTCCCCCACTCTCCATGAGCTGCCCTCTGTCCCCGAAGCAGTGCAGTTACTCTGAGATCTGCCTTAGTCTCCCTCCTGTGTTAGCCTTCCAATTTTCCCTTCTCAGCTGTTTTTCCCCCCCGTTTATTCACTCTGTTCTTTGCTAGAATGCATCCTGTAGCATCCTCATGAGAGTGGACATAGGAGGCAAGTGTTTCAGATACTTTGTTTATGAAAATCCTATCCTTATAATTGGATACAGAATTTTAAGTAAAACTTATTTAAATTTAAACTGTAAAATTAATGATCTTATTTTTTTTTCTTTTTTGGGTCACACTCAGAGATGCATAGGTGGTACTCCTGGCTCTGCACTCAGCAGTTACTCCTGGCGGTGCTCAGGGGACCATATGGGATGCTGGGAATCAAACCCAGGTCGGCTGTGTGCAAGGCAAACAAACGCCCTACCCGCTCTGCTCTCTCTCCAGCCCAATGATCTTATTTTTTCAATTAATTTTTATTAGTGAAACACCATGATGTACAGTTGTAGACTTACAGATTTTTGTGTTTGGCTTTTGATCATACAATGATCAAATACCCATCCCTCCACCAGTGCCCATTTTCCACCACCACGGATCCCAGTATCCCTCCCACCCCCATCCCCCCCATCCCACCCTGCCTCTTTGGCAGGGCATTCCCTTTTGTTCTCTCTCTCCTTTTGGGGTGTTGTGGTCTGCAAAAGAGGCATTGAGTGGCAATCATGTTCGGTCCATAGTCTACTTTCAACATGCATCTCCCATCCTGGGAGGATCCTCCAAATACCCTTTATTTGGTGCTCCCTTCTCTATCTGAGCTGCCCTTTCCCCTAGAATGCCCGGCTGGCCTCTAAGCCATAGAGTAATCCTCCTGGTACTGATCTCGGCTATTCTTGGGTAAATAATCTTATTTTTTACCTCTTGTGTAAGCGCTAAGAATCCAAAGCCAGCTTAATTCTGTCTCATCTAGTACCCTTTATTTTTAAAAGAAGTTTATTAAATAGCCCCACTAAACCAAATTAATTCTTTCTTGTTTTTGCTTTCTGGAATTCCTTTTATTAAGATGTTCCATCTCCCGACTTAGTTCTTTAAATTTCTTTGCTCTTTTTATTGCCCCATTTTGTAGCTGTGCTCTACTGTCTGGGAGGTGTCTGTGTGTTTTAACTCTTTTAATGCTTCCTCATTCCTTCATAGTCTCTGTTGTAGGTGGTGGAAGACCCTGTTGATGATGAGTTTAGTCTTGGGTAATCTAGTAGACTGTGGGAAAAACTGTACTACCAGTGTCCTTAGATCTCCTCTCTTGGTCTAGTTAAAACACCTCTTTCATTCCAATATCACTTCTTCAGATCTCCCATGTTGTTTTCTGAAGAATTCCCTCCATAACCCAGTCTAGTATGATGGTTTTATAAACAGCTCATCTTATCTCTCAAGCACCTAAACACAACTGCAATTTCCCATGGATCTGTGATTATATGGTTAATGCCTTAATTACACATTCCTCTTGAATACTTATCTTTGCTACCTTCGTAGTCTATGACACTTAATTTGTGTTAACCTTTGTAAACTGGTGTCTAGGAATGAATGAGCAATCTCATTTTAACTTTCACAGAATGAATTTCCATTTTTCAAATTAAGAAATTGGGATGAAGTTCTGGGTTCAAGTCTGGTAGGTCTCTTAGCCATCCGAGGGTGCCTTTCACTTTTTATGTGATGCTTCCGTGTTGGACCTATCTCCTCCTCTCCTCTCTTGTTAAGTGGGTGGGTGGGGGGGTAACCCTCATAATGTTGTCTTCTCTGGCTTCTATCTGAGAGGAGCAAATGAGATCATGAGAAGTGTTAATTTTGAAGCTTGGTGAATGTCATGTATTGTCTTTTTTTCTTTCATTGGTTTAGGTTCTGTGATTTACAATACTGGTAATGATGGTTTCTCATGCACGTAATACCAACACCCAACCCGTCACAGAAGGACCCCAATGCCTCTCCCACTCAAACCCCCCAACTCAGTTGTGTGGGTCAGTTCTCCCACTGTGTTGCCTTCCATACTTTGTGGCTAGCTTGCTGTGCATCTTTAAGTTCCGTAACTGAGAGAACTCTTTCCTTCTGACTAACTTCATTCAGCATATCCTCTAGTTCTATCCCTGTTGTGTCAAATTGCATTATTTTTTTCTTTATTGGAGCTACAGAATATTCCATTGGGGCATATATTGTCTTATAGTGAAGGGGGGATGGGTCTCACACCCAGAGGTGCTTAGATCTCACTCCAGGCTCTGTGCACAGGGGTCATTCCTGCCAGGACTCAGGGGACCACCTGGGATATAACTTGAGTTGGCCGTGTGCAAGCACCCTACCTACCCACTGTACTACTGCTCCAGCCCATATATTGTCTTTTTAAATAACAGAAATTCTATTAATGCTGTATCTGAAAACTTGTTCAGGGCACGAGGAAGGAAGACTATGGAAGAGATCTTACATTCTGGAGATGAGGGTGCAGTGTTTCGGTGCCTAACACTGTCTCCTCTGGGTAACTTTTACCATGCTTCATTTCCATAATGTCTTTAAGTGTAATAGCATCATCACTATTTTGCCGATCAAATCTCAAAGGCTGGGGCTGGAGAGCTACTGCACTTGCCTTACCTACAAGCCTCCCTGGGTTCAAATCCCTGGAAGTGTATATGATTCCAGAGGTACGGCAAGGAGTGATCCCTGAGCACAAAGCCACGAGTCAGCCCTGAGCACTGTCAACTGTGCCCTACAAACAAGTCCAACAAAAACAAAATTCAAATATCAGAGGCTGAGTGTTGTTCACTCAGTATGTGTAAAAGTGTGACATAAATTAAGGTCTGTATTCTCTCTTCAGTTTCATACTGTGTTCTTTTCTATGTCTATTACAGTCTTCCTGGTAGCAAAGACTAGTATAAACATTGGCACACTGTGTCATAAATTCAGAGTTATAAAATAAAATTATTAGCTGAAAATTGCAAATTCTGTTCTGCTCCAGTTATTCTAAATATTAAGATGTTGTCAGTATCTAAATACTTGTATTTAGACTTACTCCCCAAGGAATATTTTTACATTCCTTATGTCAGTCCTGATTAGAACAGATTCTTGTTTTATATTTGTGTCTGTATAGCGTAAGATTTTTTCTTTAACTCCAAACTTAAAACCAAAAACATCTGCTGCCGTAGCCTGAAAGTAGAGAGCTGGTCTTAGGTCTCTGGAGAGCACAGGTCTCCTCCCTTTTTTTGCTTGACTTGACCTCTCCAGTCTCATCTGTGTGCCACAGAAGGCAAGAAGTCCTCTTTCTTGTAGTCGTGGGTATGTTTTGTATCATCTTTGCCTACACAGGCACCATTAGGCCCTTGGGTTGTAGACAGCAC